CCGAAAAAACCGGTGCCGGTAGCAACAAAAACTGCAGGGAACCATGCAAAAAACGCATCTTCGCACTGGCAGTCCGTGCGTTGGCCAATTATCCTTTGTTTTGTTGTGCATTTATCATTCGCTTGCAAGTCCGAGTGACAAGTGTCGTTTACTTTCACCTGAGACTGTAAGAATCATTTCGTCGGAATTTCGCTATTTCGCTCCACGGTGGCGGTGTGCTCTGCATGCAGGGAGTCATAACTAACTCTAGTATGCTCCTTCAGGCAACATTTCAAAAAGCGGTATCGAAACTTTATGCTAGCGGATAATAACTGTGCAACGAGGGGCCATCGCCTAGGGCATTGTCCTAGTCTATCGAAGACACTGAAATGCGGATGAATTTAGATGTCCGCCTTCTATACCAATAAGCTTTACTTCCTTTACTGTCTCTTTTGCAGCTTTTTGGCCACTTAAAACATCTTTTCAGTTTAAGCCCACCCTCACTGTAATGGTTCTGCTTATTCCCATACGCCTGTAATCACAAGTAAACCTTCATTCGTTTGGCGCTGAACAGTTCTTTTTACTTCAGAGTTTTTGCGAACTGAATGTTTTTTAACGGTACTTTTCTAATTCTTCTGCGTACCTTCAATGTACGGTGGTGCAGAAGCACAGATGTGCATTTGAAAAATCCCTCCGCTTCTTTGGAATAATTGCAGCCCTACACGCGAATTTGCAATTTCCTGCGGCAATGGTTCTGCGCTACGTAAAGGAGTGCGCTCTATACTCAGGGGTCTGGATATTTTGACGGAATTCTTACTGCCATTGCCAGAAGGAGCTCGCCCATTCTTCAGACTCACTTTTTATGAAAGTTCGTTTGGTTTGCTGCTGTTATTTCTACCACTGGGCATCTAAATAATTTTTAAAAAATCGACATTTTAGGAAGCAACGAGAATTTCATGACTTATAAGATAGCTGTTATTTGAGAAAATGCATTTGAAAAAAAGAATTTCATTAAGCGCATTAATGTGGAACTCATATCGATTGCCCAACTGGTCTTGGTGTTAAACCAGTTATGTTCGAGATATTTAGGCACTCCGGCGCATTATCAACCACTGGGTTATTATTCGGTGTCCGCTCCGTATCGTTTCAAGCAGGCAGGCCCTCCACAAAGAACTTCATCTCTCATTTTCGAAACGAACTGCCTCAGGTAAAGCTTCTCAAATGTTACACTTCGTTATCTTCAGACTGGACCAGCTGTGGTTAATTTTGTGAAGTTTGACGTAACCGAATTATGAAGTGATTTTTGCATCATGAAAAAAAAAATCCTGAAAACGATTTCTGCAAGAATCGTAGTATCAAATGAGTTCAAAGCTTTTTCTTTGTTCGTTACGTATTCACCGTTAGTTTCCAGAATTAGACAAGCCATTGCAGCTGCTCAGTGTACATCAGTTCGCTGTTTTTCACGGTTGCAACGGAAGAACTTGACCAAGTTGGTGTAATCGAAGAAGAGGAACACCGTGAAAAGCAGCTTGGCAAATTGCAGGTCAGTTTTTGCATTTATGAAAATTATGAGCATATAAAAGTGGCGTGAAGCACTTTATCTCTCTTCAGTGTGCCAGAAACATTTGGATCATTCAGAAGTTCATTATTGCCATTATGAATAAAATTGGAAGCGCTTAAATTTTGTGACGGGTTTGACTTTTTTAAATGAACCTTTTCAGTTAAAGGAGCGAGCAGCCAGCGAAATTCCAAAGGCACCACGTTACTCCTGCATAATTTCAAAGTGTTTTCAGCAATGAACTTACAGTAAGAAATCTGCTCTGTTTGCATTAACGTTTCGCCATTGTTTCAGAATGCCCTCAAATGAAAAGCATCGCTGAAAACAACACGGAATTTGAGCAGAAAAGTTAAAAGGGCAAGTGTTTATATCGAACTCTTTGCCTAATGCTCACGTTTTTTATGCGTTTTTTGCAGCTATGCGATGCAGAAAACGCATATTGGCGAGGGGTTTTCTGTGTGTGTGTGTGTGTGTGTGTGTGTGTGTGTGTC